AATGACGGAAACTGATGATGACGGAATGACAGAAATGGCGGAATAGGGTAACACTATATGCCCGGCCATTACATGGCGGGGGTAATAAAAATCAAGCAGAAAAGTAAAGAGAGAATGCACAACTAAGCTTGGTAACAAATAATCCTGTGAAGTTTCACTGAAATTCCCCAAAACTTGACCTAATAAAATACAAAATTTCAAAACTTGACCTAATAAAATAGTCGGCAATACCACAGTAATAAACATGTACTACCATAGTCTGTTAGATTCCACTGGCCCAATTTTTTTTCTATTTCTGCTTTAAAATTTCAAAAAAAATGTGAATTAAATGGTATGTTCTCATAAAGCAGGCTAAATTTAAATTGTAACAACAGATTTCAATATCAATAAAACTGTTATTCTACAATAATTTTATTGTTTTTATGAATAAAAGTCTTGGTCATGTATGACCATGATATTGCTCAAGTGATAAATAAAACGTCTGGGCATTCTTTCAGATCAAGCTTGGCACTTGTGTGCAACCACTGTCCAACTTAAGTTACAGTAGCTGAATAGCTTTCCAACATGAAAGGGCTATAAGGTCTTGTTCGGATTTGAACCATTGCAGTAAGATGATTCAAAGTTAGTGACCGCAACTGTTTGACCACAAAGGCCTCTTCTTATTTTCAGCCATTTCATGTAGTTGTAGTGGATAAATTGGTTACAATATTTTGTTGATAGCATTTAAAAGTTCTAAGCATAAAATACTTCATCAAAGATCTTATGTTATAATAATTAAGCTATAAGTATTAGGTTTTGGAATGAATAAAAACTGTATATACCATATACACTTGGGAGAGCAAGGGCCGCCCCTGCTGCGCTGATGGTATATTATCTTGTAGATTGTTGAAAAACAGTGGATACAATGCTGGTATAGATGACCTGAAAAATACAGTTGATCTATGTTGGATTTTATATTTAGAAAATATCAATTATGATTGTCTTGTTGCATAAAAATGCACCGTAGAGCTCAAATAGGCAGGAATACAATCACAAAGGCCAGAAAACCTTAGTGATTAATTACAAAGCATTTGAACAATAAACAGTGCATTATTATATATATCACATAGCTGTGCTGCTTTTGCGATTCTGTAAATATGGTAATGCACTGGTTGTGTATATATTTTGATGTGTTATCATTTGCGTTATACAATCATAGCTAAAAAAGATGCAAGAAATGTCAGTGTTACACTTAAAAGTGCATCAATGAAAGAGTGTTTTCTTTTCACTGTTAACATTTCTTATTTTGGATATGTGATAAAAAAGAATATAAGATTTGTGTAGCTTCATTACTAAAATAAATGAACAAGTTAAAACCAGAATAAAATAATTTGAGCCGTGTCATGACAAAACCAACATAATGGGTTTGCGACCAGCATGGATTCAGACCAGCCTGCGCATCCGTGCAGACTGATCAGGATCCATACTGTTCGCTATTAGTTTCTCTACTTGTTATAGGGTTTGTAAGCGAACAGCATGGATCCTGATCAGACTGTGCGGATGCGCAGGCTGGTCTGGATCCATGCTGTTCGCAAACTCATTATGTTGGTTTTGTCGTGTCGCGGCTCATTTCTCAAGAAAACATTATTAAAAGTAAGAAAATAATGTAGTTGGATTTGAAAATATTATTTTAAAGATAAAAGTGAACAACTCTTTGCACATTATATGTGCTTAATGTAATAAACTGCTGCTATAAACATAAAAAGAAAGAAAGTCAAACAGGAAAATCATATCGTAAATATCAATGCTAGAGTTATGGGTCGTGGCCATCAACCAACAATCATAAAGACAGAGAAGTTGTCGAGACAGGCCTTTAATGAAAAACCTGAGCCATGAATTTTCTAAAGAGTTTTAGGAGAGGTATAATTCTGTGAGAAAAAAATGTCCTGCAAGAGTTACTGGTCTAGGAAATTATATGCAATTATTACCCTAAAATAAGTGTCAAGTTTCATGCAAATACCCACAGGAAAATTCTTTGCAAGGACTCTGATTATTCATAACTTAGGTATGTTTTAGACATTTTACCATCTCTTACTGTCCAGCTGCCATCACTTTAACTGATTAGAAGAGCCTCTAACAACCTTGTAATATACATGTCCACAACATCTTTGTTCACCTATAAATACAAATATATATCTAGGTAAATTTTTCAACATAACTTGAAAGTTTAAAAAAAAAAAATATTACTATGTTTACACTGTCAACTTGGGATCCAATTAAACTCTGTCACTCAAATTGTTATCAATTAACAGTGGATTTTACTTCTAACTATGGATGGAAACAAGTACTGATTTAAGTACTCAAGTACTTTTTCATTTTAACGACAGAGTATTTGGTCACACAAAATATTTCGTTTATAGCCATACCCTATCATCAGATTATGTCAAATCCTTAATAAGGTCGTAGACAGATAATTATAATAAATGCTTTATCTGCGGTCAAATTTTGTTTTCTATTTTGATACATAGACTAATGAACTACTGTGAATACTAGGGAGGTAAATGTACTTTGACAATAAAGAAAACAACGTTGATTACAGTCCATTTAATTACTTTAATCTAACATTATTAAAACAGCTTTGCCTTATAGTATAATAAATATAAAGTAGACTTTTCTCCCCACAGATCATGGTACTGGACAGGATGATAAAAATAAAAACAATAATAAATAAACTTACCTTATAAGTTTCCTTGTTTGACTCTATTTGTCAAATATTTGCCTCTTTAACATGATGAGAATTATATAAATCTATATGTAATTATTTATGTTGGGTTTTACATTGCACCAATGCTTTAAAGGTTACATGGCGCCTTTCCAGCTTTTCTGGTTTAGAAAGATATCAGGTGCCACTCAGTGTATTATTTTAGGCACAAAAGGGAACCTGAGTAGAACCACCAAGGTTCCATAATAGCCATGGATAGCTTCCTCACATGAAAGAATTCAAAAGTTGTGATGGGATTCAAACCCATAACAAGAGGGACAAGTTATATGTAGTCAACATCCTTAACCACTCAGCCACAAAGTACCTTTAATTACAGCAAAATAAAAAATTGTGTTTGGCCTCATTTTTCAAAATGGCCCACACTAATTTTGCAGTCATTGCTGTTTCACCTTCCTTTTTATGTATTGGCTGAATAGTACTCACTGCAATAGGTCCATCTACCATTATATCATGAAATAATTTTTTTTTACAAACACAAACAGATGTTTCTGACGCACACACACAATTTTAACGAATACCAGAACTTTTTTTATTTAGAAATAATGTTATTATTTTTCATGTTATGAAAAATGGATACTGTCTACCAGACATTGTGTTTTACATGTTTAAAGACACAGCTTTACTGCTGGAAGAATTCCTCAAGTGCCCAATTGTGAAATTATTTCAGGCATGAGTTGGCCATGAGACGGCCACTTGGTATAACCTACATTCAGTCAGGATTTGAGCCTACACTGGTATAAGTCAAGTGATATGAAGAGATTAAATCAGAGAGTGATATTTACCTCCAAGTTCTGCAATACATGCACAGGCAGCTTCTCTCACAGCATGGTTGTCTGCCCATATCCCTTCTATATACATGTATTAGTCAACCTTTAAAGTTAAAGTAAATTACATGTATTGACTGAAAGGTAGATAAACAAAAACAATACATCAACAGTGATTTTCATGCTTTTTTAACAGACTCCGATAAAAGGCCTCTTCCCAATTGAAATTTTCTTTAAAATCTTTAACCTGCTTATTTACTTCCCAAATTAGCAATTGTAGTGATAATTCTTCCGAAAATCAAGAGGTCAAGGCCTCTTCCAAATTAAGTGATCACACTCTGTCTTCTAAACCAATGTTGAACAGGTGTCACAGGACAATGTAAGTACATGTATATCAAGAATAATACATACTACATTGTATAGTGATGATACATCAAGGCATAAAAATTGTAAAGATTAAACAATATTTATTTTTATTTCAGATTTTATAAAATATTTCTAATATTTCTATTATCATTGACATCCAGACAGTGTGCTAAGGGACATGAGAGATGTTTAACTTTCTATTATCTCTCTTGAACAAATTTACTTGTAATAAATTCAAATCTGCAATTTTTAACTTTTTGTTTCTGTTGTACCCGAGGGATATCTCCCTTCCAAAAATTATTTTTAATAAAGGAGTAAATGGAGTGACACATGCAATAATAGACAAATATGTTGTGAGACAGGAAATGCAATTATCCATTCTAGTTCTATATTTGTAATGTAAATTTATCTTCTTGGAATCTGAAGCTGCCCATCGTTAATTTCATGTATACTGTATTATACTGTATAAGTGGTCAATTTTGCAACATGGAAATATATGCTATTTTTGCTAATCAAAATAATTCGCAAATAATCGAGCCGGTAAAAGTGACATCAACTTGAGTAAAGTCATAGATGACCAATGCTGATTCATCATTTTACCATTACACCGGTATTCAGATTACTATGTAAATATATCACGTTAAAAGTGACATCAACTTAAGTAAAATAATCGAGCCGGTAAAAGTGACATTAATTTGAGTAAAGTCATAGATGGCCATTCTGATTCATCATTTTACCATTACACCGGTGTACAGATTACTATGTAAATATATCATGTTAAAAATAACATCTTGTTATATACAAGCAAACATATAACATGATTTAATGTTCATTTAATATTTCATACAAAGAAATAATAATGAAAAAGGTTCATATTGTATTGTCAAACTGAACATTTACTAATATTACCAGGAGTTCTGGAAATTGTACTTTCGCAAATATTTCCGCATGCAAAAAGTCTGTTTTTTTACATTCAAAAACATTTTGTGATGTAAGAATATTCACTTATACAGTATACATTGACAGAAGCTAAGAATATGAAAAAAATCTTCATTGTTTCACCAATTTTATAACGAAAATTTTAAAGAGCAATAAAACTCTTCAAAAAATCCTGAAAACTTTTACCCATGCCCTGTAATATTAAATGCAACAAGGGTGAACATTGTCACTAAATATGCCTGTCACAAATGTGGGCAATAAGAAGAGTGGCAAGCAAGTTGGTCCCTATAAATAATTTGTATTTTCATCTGAAATTTTATCTCGTATGTATTATGTGTGACCTTGAACTTGATTGCAGGGACCTGTATTTTTGCACAACACTCAGCCTCACAATGATAAAAATCTGTGCCAAATCATAATATTAAAATCAGTCAATGCATGTAGGATTGTCGGTAGGACAGCAACGCTGGACTTTTCTCAGTGCTTGATAGTAACAAAATCCTTGATAATGTAAAATATTCTAAGTTAACAAAAGGGCAAAACATTTTTCTTTAAATCCATGTTACAGTTATAGGCCTTGAAGAGAGTCCTATTATGCTCTCAATGATGAGTATAAAATTTCAACTTCTTTCAAAGCCAGATGTCAATAGATTATGAAATTATCTGAGGTGGTATGCAAACTAACGTAAATTTTAAGTGGAAAAAAGGGCATTATTTTGCAAAAATGATTGATACAGTTACCTCCTCTTGTCTACAGATTGGGGTAATGATGATGAATAAGTGTGCAAAGCTTCAAAGCCATATGTCAATGGACTTTGAAAATATTTGAGGTATTACAAAAATTTTCACGTAAATTCTAAGATGATAAAGGGGCATAATTTTGTCAAAATGCTTGATACAGTTACCTCCTTCTGTCTACAGGTTGGGGTAATAATGGTGAACAAGTGTGCAAAGTTTCAAAGCCATTTGTAAATGGACTTCGAAAATATTTGAGGTATTACAAAAACTTTCACGTAAATTTTAAGTCGGAACAGGGGCATAATTCTGTCAAAATGCTTGATACAGTTATCTCCTCCTGTCTACAAGTTGGAGTCATGATGGTGTACAAGTGTGCAAAGTTTCAAAGCCATATGTCAATGGACTTTAAAAATATTTGAGGTATTACAAAAACTTTAACATAAGTGGTTACGCAGACGCCGACACTCAATTGACTACAATAGCTCTACTTATTCTAATCAAATAGTCGAGCTAAAAAATCTAAATGTGACCTTTGACCTCTATGTGTGAACTTTATTTCAGGGACTTGACTTTTTTTTGCGAAACACTACACCTTACAATGGTGCACATTTGTGCCAAGTTATGTTAAAAAACTCCCTATGAAACTAAACGTTTTCTCCAGACAAGCGTTTTTAAATTAGCTCTAAAAGTGGTCTTGATCTTTGACCTAGTGACCTTGATCATGTGTGGAGCAATATGTTTCCTGGTGGTGAACAGTTCTATAAAGTAAGTTAGAGATATGCTCCAGACAGAATCTGGATATTTCATCATCTTAAGTGACCTTGACCTTCCATATATTGACTTAAATTACATGTATCACAGCTTTAGGCATGATAATGACTATTTGTGTAACAATCCCTCAATAAACGATGTCAAAATGGTCCAAATACACATCATCATATTTTTATCTGAACTCTGACCTCTATGTGTGTCCTTAATATGGCCGCAAGGACCTGAATTTTTGGTGCGACACTACGCCTCATAATGGTTAAAATTTATGCCAAGTTATATTGAATCCTTAAATGCATGCAGAAGTTTTTTGCGGACAAGCATTTTCCAATGACCTCTAAGTGTGACCTTGACCTAGAGAATTGGTTCATGTGTGTGACATGGGTTCTTATAGTGGTAAACATTTAAATGAAGTTTCATTAAAGTCTCCCTATTTGTGAAGAGATATGCTCCAGACAAAAGTGGATGCCACCCACACTCCATCCCCCTGCTCGCCAGGCGTTCCTATATTATGTCCCGTTTTTTAAACAGGTGTATCAAATTCAGTAATATTGTCTAGTTAAACAGCAAGAAAGAGCAGATTGAGTGTGACTTACCACTTGTCCGATGTACCAGTTGTTTCCCCTGCTCTCCCATCACTTGTTTCCATGTGTCCTGTGAGTATATACGGAGACCTTCGGCTACGTAATATCTGAAACAAATACACATTTTATGATTTAAGATCATATCATTTCAGACATTTCTACTCTCAAAGGGTAGCATTTTTGTTTCTTGATGTGCACAAAAATATTTCAAAATATTTATTCAATAATTATTTATTTACAAATTGTTGGTAACGTAGCGTTTATGCATTTTTTCTGACATTCAAAGAAACAAACATATTGTCATAAAACACCAATGGCCTATAAATCTACTCAATGTAAGAAAGTTGCTTAAAACAATTTCCTGAAATGTGACATAATCATTGTTATACAAGAAGCGCCGCAATGCGACGAAAACCAGGTTTTCAACTACCAAGTATGGATGGTACTAAAACTTAATACATTATTATACATAATTGATTTTTTTCATAGTTTTGTCTTCCTTACTGCGTCCAGTATTTTATGAGTTGAGCTTCCAAGTTCAAGGGGGAATAATTATAGAAATAGAGTTATGAACCTTGTCACACAACATGTGTGTAATGATAAGAAATATATATTTGAAGTTTAAAGTAGATACCTTAAAAAGTAAAGAAGTTATAATATTTCTTTAAAAAAAATCCAAAGTACAAGTGGAGATAAATCTGAAAATATTGATTGAAATGTTATGATCCTTATCACATAAGATGTAATTGATGATAAGGAATATGCAATTGAAGTTTGAGGTAGATACCGTTTAAACTAAAGAAGTTATAGAAAAATAACATTTTTCAAGTAAAAAAAGTTCATGGGGAGATAATTCTTGCATTATTGATGTCAGAGTTATGAACCTTGCCATGTTACATGTGGTTAATGATAAGGAACATATATTTGAAGTATGAAGTTGATCCCTTAAAGATCCTGTAACACAATTTTTTCATGGTTTTATTTCAAAAATATGATCCTCAAATTAAGATTTGTCAATATTGTAAGTTCCAATAAGCATTATTTATAACGATATTACCCAATTTAACATTTCATGTAAATAAAGGGAGGTAATTAGAAAGTTATTTTCTATAAATTCTAAGTCAAATTTTCCAATAAGAAATGAATGCATGCAATTTATTGATTACATATAATGTGCACAAATATTTGCAGTACACATTTTACATATTCTTCGATGTTTGAAAATTGTTTTATTTGCATAATTATATACATATATAAACTTTTGCAAGTGTGATATACACACAGTAACAATATCAATCACAAAACATACAGGATCTTTAAGAAATAAATAGGTTACAGTAAAAATAATATTTTTAAAAGAAAAATTCTAAGTTCAAGGGGAGATAAACTGGTAAAATATTGGTGCTAGAGTTATGAACCTTATCACATAACATGTGGTTGATGATAAGGAACGTATATTTGAAGTATGGAGTTGATACCTTAAGAAATGAAAACGTTATAGTAAAAATATTTAACTGCACCGAAACTTTAATCTGAAATCTGGGCGGGGACGCCGGGGCGAGTAGGACAGCTCTCCATATATATGTTCTTCGTATAGTTGAGCTAAAAACAGTTAATTCCCTTTAGTTTCGAGCTATTTAACTTACCTATATAAAGTTTTACATTTCATTAATACCTATGTTACTATATATAGTAAAAATATCTAGGGTATTTCAACGCAATTATGGCAAGATTTAGATCACTATGCAATTTTAGCTGATTTCTACTTGACATTATTTATACATAATAGGTAAGTGAATGAGCGCACATGCTAAATGATGTAATCAACTCTTAGTGACTATCAACATGGCTGCTGTCTTTAAATGAACTGTAGTCACTTGCACGCCAAATCTTAAGTTTTGATGATATAATTAATGGCAATCAACAAAGCTTATCAGCATATTTCTGTCTTTAACAATCTGACTTGAACAAGGCGACAATATGCGCATTTCATCTTTGTATTAATGGTTCCCATAAAGTTGTGTTGAATTTCAGCCAGTAGTTATAGAGAAGAAGAGTGGAAACTGATACTATTATATATGCACAATCAAGGGCCATAACTCTGTGATGAAGGGTCTAACCAGTACAATATTATCAGTTCTATTTTTAATCCACTGTTTTGTCAATCTACAGACAATGTGACTGATGGACAGACAAAGGCTTTTTATGCACTCCACAGTCCAGGAATTTATTTAATCCATGATTTTCTTTAAAATATTCATATATAATAATATAATATAATGCAACAAAAAATTATATTACTTCATCCAAGTTCCTTATGATTTCCACCCAGCAGTGTCCTGGAAAATTTGAGCAGCCTCTGTACTGTGCCTCTATAGACAGAATAAAAAGTTGGAATTATAGGATATTCTAGATATAATCAAATTAAAGATTCATTATTTTGATAATCATCATCATGTATCATTTACTTACATGTATATGATATAACAATATTTCTATATATAATAAGTTAGTCTCTGAACTAAAATCAATCCACGAGACGATTGTAGACCAAACATCAGCCAGCACATCCGTGCTTTCTCATTGTATGACAATGGTATTGTCAAGAATGAAAGATGGATACGCCCATTTAAGATATTTAGGTTTAAAAACCCTAACACGAATTAAGTCAATGAGATACAATACTAAATGTAAAATCTTAACAGAGTTAAATGGTCACAGAGTAAGACAGTAGGACTATTGTCAAAACAGTGCATCTACAGTACACTGTAAAATTTTAATCATAATGATATTTTTATGTAGTTTTTCACCTTTTCCCCTCTAGGTTAACTTGACAGTTTCTCCATAAGTCTTTCTGCCTCCTCTTGGTCTGATATATACAGCTATCTGTCAATGGATCACTCTTGTTCTGATATATACAACTATCTGTCAATGGATCACACTTGTTCTGATATATACAACTATCTGTCAATGGATCACACTTGTTCTGATATATATAACTATCTGTCAATGAATCACACTTGTTCTGATATATATAACTATCTGTCAATGGATCACCTCTAAATTTGTAGAAATATCATCTAGAACATCAGTACAGCATTGCTGGTATACACTTGCTCCTATTATCTCTCTTACAAAGTGCTCCTCAAATTTCACCTGTTGGTTCAAAAATTAAAATAATAAAAAAATTATCATAACCATACATGCCATTACGTCCTGGATGTCCGGGACTGTCCCGGAAATAAGGTGTCTGTCCCGGAGATGATTTATGTCCCGGTAAAAAAACGAAAATAATCTACTTTGAAGCAAGAAATTTTTCATTTTTATATAATTTTATTGTCAAGTTTTTATAAACTAGTCTAGAACGCTTATAACGAATGATTATCCCCATTGCAACGGTGACACTAATCCTTTGATTGGTATATCTACGTGCCCCTTCCAACAAATAATTATCGGCAATAGTTTTGATCAATTAAAAGATTAATTGTTTACCCCCTCTGGCTTCCTGAGTGAAGGTGTCATAACACTGTAATTGACAACTGGCCAGTATAAATTTAATCCGCCTGGAGGCAGTTATTAGTGGTCAAACACCGTGAAAATTACCTCTAAATATAGCATAACATAAATTTATTGCATAAAACTCTTTTACAAAGTTTATAGCAAGCAATATATAATTGCGGCAAGTACATGAAAACGTGTTTTCAGAAAAGAAAAAACAAGTTAATTAAATTGACTTATAAATACATAGTATTTTGCACATTTTAACAAAGTTCAGTGTGTATTTTTTTTCAAAATAAGAGCATACAGTATTATGGAGGTATATAGACAAATTATGAAATTCTTATTCTATTTGCAAAATGTGATTGCTTTTACGGCCCGTACAAATTTACTACTAACTTTTTCTGTTAGAAGATTTTGACATAAATATGTTCTATTAATTCTATCAAAACACAACATATAATCAACAAATCAGCAATAAAGTATTTTTTACCCAAGTCTAAAACTTTACTTAATACAGAATGTAGGACAAAAATACAATCAATTATTGACTTCCCCTTTTGGAATCCGAATTGAGTTTTGTCAAGCGTATCGTATTTGTTGGACCATTGAGTTAATCTATTTAAAAGCAACTGAGAGTGAATTTTTGCAAGTACATTAAAATGATTAATAAGACAAATGCCTCGATAATTCTTAGCATCATTTATGTCCCCTTTTATAAAGAAAGGAGTAATTATTCCTAAACCCTAAGAATTAGGATATTCACCACTGTTATATATTCTATAAATACATTTTCAACAAAAGAGATGAAATTAAATCATAGCTAGACTTAAACAATTCACTTGGAAGATTATCTAACCCCGGCATTTTATTATTGTTAAATATGAGGTGGTGTAATCCATAAGATTCAGCGAATGTTTCAGGTAAACGACATGGCTAATTGTCATAACTTAACATAGCTTTACTCTATTCTCAGATTTTTCAGATTTTATTTTCAATATATGCAAAAGTCCCACAATAGCGGGAAACATAAGCAAATTGTGACATACATAAATGCATATATACATACATAGAATCACATAACATAATGTAGTAGAAAACGGCTATTGAGATTTCCAAGAACAGAGCCTAACACATTCATGTTTATTTAAGCTATAAAATTGAGCTGGGTATATATATGTAAGTGAAAAGAATAAATATTACAAAATTCAATCATCAAAGACACACAAAAAGAAAAAAGGTCATAACTTATCTTTCGCATATAGTAATTTAAGACATGATTTAAAATTTACACATCAAGTTCTAATAAAATGTTGCATTATTTTCATACAAAAAATACTAAGATTCTTTAGTTTATTTGTATTTTCCGATGTGACCAGGCTTACAAATTTAAACATACTTGGCCTATTTATGTAAAAATTATCTATGTATATTTTTCTATCATTTTCAAATTCTGGACATACAAAAAGATAATGAAATTCATCGCCAATATCGTTACATATATTACATTTACGGTCTTGAATAGGTATATTCTGCCATCGTCCTATTTCAATTGGAAGGCGATGAATTCTGGTCAAAAATAGTAATAATTTCTTAGCTAAATTGCTTGGTAGTTTATCTATGTAACAGCTTCTAGAAAAATCCTTTTTGATATATTTGTAAACGTTTGTATCAGAAGTGTTATTTAGTTCAGAACACTGTGACTGATTGAATTAACCTGTTAACGATGCCTAAATACTTAAAAAAGATAAACAAGAGGGCCATGATGGCCCTGAGGTCGCTCACCTGTATATAGCCCCCCGGGCCAATTTTTACCCAAGGGCTTTTATTTGAACAGACTTGGTAGACACCCATAAGAAGATGTTTCATGCTAAATATCTAAGTTCTAGCTCATTGGGTTTTTTAAAAGAAGACTTTTTTAAGTTTTTACTATACACATATAGTTAAAAACAATGACACCCCTGGGGCAGGGCCAGTTTTGACCCCCGGGCTTTTATTTGAACAAACTTTGTAGATATTTACTTAAAGGTGTTTCATGTATAATATCTAAACTCAAGCTATTTGGGTTTTTTCAAAGAAGATTTTTAAGTTTTTGCTATACACATATAAGGAAAATCAATGACCCCCGTGGCGGGCCAGTTTTGACCCCATGGCTTTTATTTGATCATACTTGGTAGACACCCATTAGAACATGTTTCATGCTAAATATCTTAGCTCTAGCTCTTTGAGTTCTTTAAAAGAAGGTTTTTTAAGTTTTTACTATATGCATATAGGGAAAATCAATGACCCCCTGGGGCGGGGCCAATTTTGACCCCAGGGCTTTTATTTGAACAAACTTGGTAGACACTCATTAGAAGATGTTTCATGCTAAATATCTTAGCTCTAGCTCTTTGGGTTCTTTAAAAGAAGATTTTTTAAGTTTTTACTATATGCATATAGGGAAAATCTATGACCCCCTGGGACGGGGCCAATTTTGACCCCAGGGCTTTTATTTGAACAAACTTGGTAGACACTCATTAGAAGATGTTTCATGCTAAATATCTTAGCTCTAGCTCTTTGGGTTCTTTAAAAGAAGATTTTTTAAGTTTTTACTATATGCATATAGGGAAAATCTATGACCCCCTGGGACGGGGCCAATTTTGACCCCAGGGCTTTTATTTGAACAAACTTGGTAGACATTCACTAGAAGATGTTTCATGCCAAATATCTAAGCTCTAGCTCTTACGGTTCTTTAAAAGAAGATTTTTTAAGTTTTTACTATATGCATATAGGGAAAATCAATGACCCCCCGGGGCGGGGCCAATTTTGACCCCAGGGCTTTTATTTGAACAAACTTGGTAGACACTCACTAGAAAATATTTCATGTCAAATATCTTAGCTCTAGCTCTTTGGGTTCTTTAAAAGAAGGTTTTTTAAGTTTTTACTATATGCATATAGGGAAAATCTATGACCCCCCTTGGGCAGGGCCAATTTTGACCCCAGGGCTTTTATTGAACAAACTTGGTAGACACTCATTAGAAGATGTTTCATGCTAATTATCTTAGCTCTAGCTCTTTGGGTTCTTTAAAAGAAGATTTTTTAAGTTTTTACTATATGCATATAGGGAAAATCAATGACCCCCTGGGGCGGGGCCAATTTTGACCCCAGGGCTTTTATTTGAACAAACTTGGTAGACATTCACTAGAAGATGTTTCGCTGCACATGGGGTATGAAAATAAATGTTAACAAAACGAAGGCCATGATTTTTGAAAATGGCAGAAGTACTTTCGCAGATTTCTATATATACGGTCAAAAAATTGAACTGGTGAACTCCTTTAAATATCTCGGTGTCAATTTCTTCAAAAATGGTAACTGGGCACGCACACAGAAACAAATTGCCGACCATGCCTCGTTTTCACTGCATAACTTGTTTTCTATTTTTCGACAAATTGAATTGCCTAACTCAAAAAAGATTCATTTATTTGATGTGTTAGTTGGATCCGTGCTGAATTTTTGCTCAGAAATATGGGGTACACAGAGAGCCACTGATATTGAAATTATACACTTAAAATTTTTGAGGTATATCCTAGGGGTACGTAAATCAACAAACTTATCAGCTTTGTATGGGGAGCTTGGTAGAGTCCCTTTAAATATTTATCGAAAAATAACTATTTTGAAATATTGGAGAAAACTTATTTCGCATGACAACTTATCGCTAACGTTTAAAACATACAGTGTCTTAAAATTTGACGCGGATAACAATGTCACGTATAGAAACAAAAATTGGGCTTCACATGTAAAAACTATACTCGAAGAGCATGGTTTCGGTTACGTATGGCATAACCAAGTTCTGGATAATGTTACCTTTGATATGGTAAAACGTAGAATCCTGGATAATTATAAGCAGTCATGGTATGCAGAAATAAATAATTCTCCGCGATTACAAAGCTATAGTTTATTTAAACACACTTTTGAACGCGAGACATATATTGATTGTATACAAGATAGAAAATATATGACAACTTTATCAAAATTTCGGGTATCTGCACATAAGCTATTTATAGAATCCGGACGATATACGAATATTCCGCGAGAGCAACGGTTATGTAAGTCCTGTAACATGAAGAGAGTTGAAACAGAGTTTCACTTCTTGATGGTGTGTCCTAGATATAGGGAGCTTAGAAAAAAGTTTTTAAAAGGATATTTCTGTAGGTGGCCGACAATTAATAAATTTGAATCTTTATTAAATTCTAAATCGAAAATAGAGCTAAACAACCTTTCGAAGTTTTTATATTTTGCCAATAATGAGAGAATATCTTGATGATGTAGTATCAATTAATATCATATTAACATCTTGGTGTAGTGTCAATATCATATTTAAGACATTTTGTGCAACCTGCTATTTCCTAAGTATTTTAAGACCTTTCAGGAAATAGTGTTTATATTATATTTTCATTCCATGTCAGATCTCATTTTCATGAATGTATATATATGTTTTGTTTTGCTATAAACATTGTAATAATGTTTTATTTGCAATAAAGTTATTGTATTGTATTTGTATATATTAGGAATGAAAACAGTTTATAATTAGTACATTAGTTTTATCATGACTTGTGTTAAATATTACCAGCCCAAGTTCCCTTGGACCTCTCAACAAGGAGATTCTAGGCGTGTATTTACCTATTATATTTTTGTAAATTTTGATGTTTTACATATTAGATAAAATTTGTAATTGTATATATAATTAACATCATATCTACATATCGGACCACTGTTTGACTTTACAAATAAAACTTTTGTGACATACCAGTATGGAGCAATTCAGCCTTTACCCTCACAACACAAATTAATATGAGCCATGTCAAGACAAAACCTACATAATGGGTTTGCGACCAGCATGGATCCAGACCAGCCTGAGCATCCGCGCAGTCTGATCAGGATCCATGCTGTTCGCTATCGGTTTCTCTAATTGTTATAGAGTTTGTAAGAAAACAGCATGGATCCTGATCAGACTGCGCGGATGCGCAGGCTGGTCTGGATCCATGCTGGTCGCAAACCCACTATGTTGGTTTTGTCGTGACGCGGCTCATATGTTCTGAGCAGCATTAGCTAAACCACAGTGTTTTTTTTTCATGACGGGTGAAAAATTAACCAAACGCATTTTTCGGTCGTAACTTTTGTAAAACATCAGCTTTCGTAAATGATCCGAACAGGTCATTATTATTGGGATGCTGTGGTTAACCTTTCTACTATTGATTGATTGATTGATTGATTGATTGATTGATTGATAAACATTGAATGATC